AAAAATAGAAGTCTTAAGACTTAATCTGAAAATTGCAGTCTTTAAAAGGTTATCTAAATTTGTTTGATTGCTCAATATGCTTGCTTTTACTAATAGAGCCTTAATTGCCTATTATCCTTAATGAAGCCAGTGGTATTCCCCTTATTCCCTTCACTAGCTTTTATGTTACTGTCTATAAGTTAAAGAAGGATCTTAAACTGATCCCATATGTTCCAAATCTTCTCTTTGGTTGTGTTTGTGGCTCTTTTGGTGACTGTAAAGTTGTACTGCTCTTTTGTTGAGTGACCGTTTCAATATCAAAGATTCATCTCGTTCAGTGAACCAGCCGCAGGGTGTCACTTGGGATTTATAATTTATGAGTTTGATTCCTTCTCCCAGTTTGTGAGTCTAGTCCCCAGTTGGGTCATTGAAACTGTGCATCATAAAACTAATCCAAGAATTTAAAAAAAGCTTCTATAGAGGAGTGTCTTCTCTGAGCTTGTAGCACATCTGGGCCTCAATGGAATTCGGGCAGTGGTGCAGATTCTGCTTTACATTTCAGTACAACCAAAGCACCAAGTTCCTGCTCTCTAAGCCAATAAATATTGAAATAGAAAACTATTTTTGTGCTGATTAAACGGAAAAAAAACTAATTTGTCAATCCGTGATCTTTTGGACAAAGTCAGGCTTTTCCCTCTGCTTCCAGTCTTCAAGCTAAGCTAAGCTGAGCTAACTGGTTGTAGTTTCATATTTAACAGACAACTATATAAATTTTCTCCTCTGACTCATCTAAAGGAAATAAGCATATTTCCCAGAGATGTTTAACTATTCTGTTAAGGATATAAATGGGCATTTATTTATTTATAAATAACACTTTATCCTTCTAAGTACAAAAATAACTTTCTTGGGTTGCTTTTAAAGTAGAGGTAACTAAGGTAGAGGTAAAGACGTTTTGAAAACCGTATTTGTTTTTTGGTCTCATTGTGGTTTCTCACTGGAGCCATGACATCTATTTTCCATCTATATTCTGAAAATTTACTGGGGCTGATTTGTTTTAAGAACAAAAGCATTTCCCTAAAAAAGTTATGTTGTTAGTGCACTGCGACTTTCTTTAAAACAATGCTATCTAGACTCACTGCTGCTGCTCCTGACGGTTTAACTTTTGAATTTGTTAGACGCATCAATAAAGACACAATCTGGGACGGATCCAGATTAATAACACAGACAGGAATCGTAATATCAATATCAGGTCTGTGTGAATTACATCTTCTTAACATGAAATGTGAAACGTATTGTTTGTAGAGGGTGAAGAAATCCCTCCTTAATAGCATGCCTGTTTCTTAGTTGCCTTTGATCCCAGTAAAGTGTCATAAACCAGACCGGACCTCCTCCTTACTCTCTCTCCTGATCCAAGACCTCCAGTTCCATTAAGACAACATTGATTGTCTGCTCAGGTCTAGAGAACATAAGCCAGGATTACTGCAGAACAAGTGTTAGACTCTCTTAACCTTCCTCCATTAGCTCCTGCGACAGCTTTATAGCTGCACCGGGAAAAATATTAACCGTTAACAGACAGCTACACTGGGTGTGGAAAAAGTAGATTTGAACAGTGCATGTGATTTCTGGTGAAAATGATAATGCTTTTTCTCAAAAAAAAATAAAAAAATTAGATCTGAAGCTGCTTTCACAACCTGAAGGTAATTTCATTTCCAGTATGGAAACAGCAGGCTGCCATTTTGCTCAACCACAGCAGGATTAAACCGCCACAAGGCAGAGATCATTTATCAGCGCTGCTGAGAGGAGGGCAGATCTGTCAATGACACCCTCCTTTCATGTCCCTAATAAGTGATTAGACTCATGAAAGTGCCGAGTCAGCAAGCAAAATTAATCTGATGCACATTTTTCTCCAGTCTCATAGTGTTTTGTGTGCTGGTATTTCTACACAGGTTTCCTCTCAGCACAGTGAAATACACTAAAAGAAGCTGCTTGTGTGCTATAAGTCCAGTAAATGTTCCTGTACATATTATTCATAAGGAGGTACAGCCATGCTAGCAACTTTACGGTGTTTTGAGCCATATGCTAACATCATAACGCTAACATGAAGGCCTACGCCTAAGGGAAACCATCTGACGTTTAGCATGTATAATGCTTAAGGTGATTATATACATTAGGGTTTAGCATGTGTGGATTCTTCACGTGGATATTAATCTGTGTTTAATTTGATGTCCATCTATTTAATAGTTGTTTGGACATTAAACTCAGATCTACAAATGTTAGCCTCATAGCGGTGCTGATTACATGAGTCATAAGAAGTCAAACTGCTTTGGATAATGTGGCTCACTGCAGATTGTATATGTTATTTATTTATTATTGTCCGTCTTACCTTGGATGCAAGATTGGCAAAAGCATTTCGTGCCTTCTAACTATTAAAAAATATATAATTAACATACTGTGGAAACCACGAAAGTCTGAACAAAAATGAAAGGAAAACCATCCAACAGCTATTAAGATAGTTAAGACTGGACGTAAATGCTCCTGTGTGTAAGTGGGACATTATTCTGCTGTAGGATTCATTCAAAAACATATTGCAGTTTGTTTGCATGTAAGATTATATTATACAGATATATCCCTAAGTGACATTCACACAGTGAGATCTTGTATCAGCATCATCTCACTTCTGAGGCAGCAAATTGGCTTCAAAACAGAGACGATCAATCACAAAAACACTTAAAACATAATGTATACAAACAAACGCACACACACACTTAACACTTACAGGGAGAGTGCTGAAGCTGTCCGAGAGTGTGTTCCCCACTGTGGTCAGACATGTCTCAATTGGGGATGGAGGAAGGAATGGGGAAATAAATTCAGTTTTTAAGGTCACGTTGGGGCCAGAAATCCATCACAGGAGGAAGGGGACCAACAAAGGAGACCCACAATGATACAAACTACATGCCGGGTGGGAAACAAGGGAATGCATGCCAAAAATATGAATGACTAATAATAATAATAATGGGAGATGAGCAGGGGCCTGTTTCAGAAAGGAGGTTAAGTGAAAACTCTGAGTATGTTAACCCTGAAATGAGGGAAACTCTGAGTTTTCTGTTTCAGAATGGGAGGTATGTTAAACCTGAGAAAGCAGAGTAAGTCAAGCCTGTTTCAGAAAGAGAGGTAACTTATACTCAGAGTCAGTTACCATGGCAACTTACTCTGTGAACCTAACCTGGTCGGGAGCAGGTTTTCTTCGGGAAACCCAGAGTTTATTTCGTCTCCTCCCCTTTTTTAAAGAGGAAGTGGTATTTAATCACCTCATTCATTCTTTCGGTATTCATTCATTGCGCACATTTCAGTCACGCAGAGCGCATCAAATCAAGTGAATGAAATGGCATGTCCTTTTATGGACGATCCTGTAATTGCCATAATTAGAGGGGAGCAACACCCTGCCCTACAAATACAAGACCCAGAGGAAGACCCCATCAACCCGGCAGATTTCCAGGAGGGAAGGGTAGTCCGGGATATGATATGCCGAAATGTCTTCACAGATTAATACACATTATATCCACCACCACAACCAACCACCCACAAAATAAAATAAAAATGAATAAACACAAAATCACAGAAATTTATATGGTGTTCTTTATTTCCTAAATTGAATTATGTTTTTATATTTCATTTTCAGCTGCTGCCATGTTCTTTTAATGCCTGCAGGATTGCACCTACATGAAAATTAAAATTAGGTTGAATAACACACTGTTCTTCCAGTTTCACTTCTGATATTATAACAGTTGGGCAAGTCACTTATATTACTAACTACAACTGGTTCCTTCAACAGTGTAATTAGATTAATGTAATAATGACTATCTCTAGAAAGTATTGGTCTACTTATTACTAATTACTTTCTAAATCCCACATCAACCTCAACCACTTGAACAATACAAGGAGAGACAAGAAACTGCACTTTTAATGCTTTCAAATAAACATTATACAATTGCATGAATTATTCTTGAAAAAATATATCTTTTTAAATTTGATGTTAAATCCACTATTGTTTTATACAGAATTGCTTTATAGTTTATGCAGCATTTAATGCAATTACATCAGATTTTACTTTAAATTACGGAATTAAATTACAGTTTTTAGATTACATAGAAATTAATTACACACAACACTGTATAACAGTAATTCAAATGTAAACTTACGCATTGACTCGAGCAGCTATTTTCATAAGCACATCCAGTTCTGCTGGTGAAAAATATGAAGACCTCTTTTTGTCTGGCGCTGTTGCCATGGTGACTCGTAATATCTGCGCTCCATTGATAATGGCTTTTTATAGTTGTGGTGCACGCGCTTAACTCAGAGTAGGTCAACTCAGAGTTGATTGAACTAACTCATTTCAGCTGTTCTGTAACCGAAAACTCAGAGTTTCCCATCTCAGGGTAAGTCAACTCAGAGTTCAAGTTTTAACTCAGAGTTGGTTGAACCTCCTTATTGAAACAGGCCCCAGGTCTTTCCAGCTCTCATTAAGCTCTTATTTCTACTGGCACCAATCAACTCACTTGCATGCATGGACCAAACCAGTGGTGGAGGTAGATGTCGGACATTGGACAATGCACCCTTCAACACATGTAAACTAAATTAATCCACCGGTAGAAATAATGTCTTATGTAATCTAAAGACTTTGTGTACTTTATCGGTGTAGTGCATCGTGCTCATCATGTCCAGGATATGCAAGTAGGGGGAAACTAATAGGAAAAATTGCTTTGATGTGCATTAAGGTTAAATTGGTGACAGTACGAGACTGATGAGTTATTGAATCATCTTCTACTGCAATGGATTCTGCCCTCAGGTTACAAAGTGCTCTTTTAAAAAGGCACTCGCGTCACATAATATACCACCAAAGAAGACCTCGCCTTGGAGTTTGTGGCACGTAGCTGAAGATAAAACTGAACAGAACTGCTCTTCCTGTGACTTGGGAACTGAGATTTTTAAGGACATGACATAGCAGCACTAGAGACATGAGACACAGTGGAGAGATTTTTAATTAAAATAGTTATAGTTCATCATTTAGAGCTAAAACAATTCTACTTTTCCAGTTGTTAAATCGGCTGATTTTTTCTCTTCTGAGACCACACAGAATACTTTTGGTTTATGGATTGTTGGATGAGCCCTGCGATTGGCTGTCGCCCGAAGTTGGCTGGGATAGACTCCAGCCCTCCCGCGACCCTGTGTGCAGGATAAGCGGTTTGACAACGGATGGATGGATTGTTGGATGAGCACTTGAAAAAATATTGTGGAGGGTGTTTTCCCCATTTTAAAACGTGACAATTGATCATTTTAAGTAAAATGATCAGCTGATAAAATTGACAATGCATGTGGAATAATTGCAGCACTATAAGGATGTCCGACAGGTCAGCTAGATCACAGCAGATTTACAGGTCCATCTGGTGGATATTTTCATACTGCAGCGAACTACAAATAGTCACTTCACTTTATACCCTCATACTTACCGCACCAGGTGGAAGCCTTATATGTTCAGCACTACTAAAATGAATTAAAATCCAGCTAATTTCCTGGTATTTATTAAATTCAAAAACTCCATATATTTACACTTTAGTACGAAGCAACTACACGTTAATTATGACATAGTAGTGTTTCGGTAGAAGGAAAGCATGTCGTCCAGACTCTCCGTGGGCTGTGGAGCCTGGCTGCGGTCTGCAGGCTGCTGGGGCTGAGGCTGAGGCTGAGGCTGAGGCTGAGGCTGGGGCTGGGGCTGGGGCTGGGGCTGGGGCTGGGGCTGGGGCTGAGCTGGATACCCATAAGATGGATACTGAGGAGGATACTGCGGTGGATACTGCGGTGGATACTGCGGTGGATACTGAGGAGGATACTGAGGAGGATACTGGGCAAGATACTGGGCAGGATAATGGGGGGGATACTGGGGGGGATACTGGGGTGAATAGTGGTTTGGGTACTGTGGGGGAAACAGGGGAGGCAGCTGATGTGGTCCAGCAAACTGAGTAGAAGGAAATTGAGGATAAAGTGGATGAAAAGGCGACTGGGGATTAAAAGGAGGAGCAGACAAAGGAGCTGAAGCTGCTGGGTGATCGGTAGGTGATGTCTGCGATGATGTCTGTGGTTGTGATGGAGGTAGAGGACTTTGTGGAGGTGGAGGACTTTGTTGAGGAGGAGGAGGTGGTGGTGGTGGTGATGGAACTGTTTCAGGCTGAGACTGTGGTTCCTCCTTGCTCTCAGAGATTCCTCCTGGGTCTTTGGTCCACTTAAAGGGAATCTTGGATTTATTCTCCTTAGTTTGAAACTTCCCTGGTCTATTCCTCTCAGTAAAGTACGCAGAGGGGGGAGCAAAATCGGAATCTCGCTCTTCCCGACGCCGAGATGTCCACTCGGTAAACATAAATTCTGTAAGAAAAAGTTAAACAAGTAAGTATTTGACAATGGATAAGAGCTTTATTTTAATCTTGGGGAATTCTAATCTGTACTTCAAACGTTTGAACCCATAACTTGACATTGCAACTGCAGATTTGAGCTTGGCATAAATACTATTTGACTTTTGTGTAACTTAAAGTAGTTTATAAAATAATGCAATGCATCATACAGTAACAGTCAATGGTTTGGACGCACTTCATGAAATAATGTACTGAGATACATTTTATTTTTTTAATATGGAACTATAATAAAGATTACCTTTGCCCCTGTCCCATTCTCTGACATGAGGAACTCCTGGTTTGGTGTCCTTCCTTTCCTGGATCTCCACTACCACCTTCTTCACTGTGCTTATTTCTGGGGAGTCCTCCGGTGGAGGAGAAGATTCACCTTCGTCCTCCACTCCTAAAGACAAGGAGTTCAAAACAATCATCATTAACATTATCTGTGATTATTGAATTGCATTGTGCAAAAATACTTTATATGCAAATAACTCAAATTATTTGATACCAAATGAAGGCCATGGCTGATTTTGATCTGACGCGGTTGTGGACTCACCTTCAGTCTCTCCCTCTCCCTGCTCGTCCTCAGTGCCATCCAGCTTGGCCTTCTTCATCTTCCTCTGCCTCACTTTGGCCAAGCGGGCCCGCAGGATGGCCTGCCTCTTGTCCTTCAGTTGTTCCCTCTTGGTGCGCTGATCTGTTGTCTAAAGCACAGGACAGATATAGACGAGAAATAAGTGCTGAGCCAATACTATACTAGATGTACATACGTATGAATGTGGACATATGTGTATAGTTTCTGAGACAACTCTATAAAGACACACACTAAACCCAAATTTCTAGGTTTCCATTTGTCCATACATCAGCAGCTCACCTGGTCTCTCAGCATGTCCAGAGTTTCTCTCTGCTTTCTGCGTTGCTCTTCATCATGAGCAAACGCAAAGTAACCTACACCGAGATCTCGAGCCTCTGAGATGAACAGACACACAACATTACTTCTACAGCAAAGGACTTAATCCTTGGTTTTAAATGTGAGCACAAGCATTTCAGTCATCAATTAAAAAAAGGTAACCTTGTCCCCTAATATCCTCGTAGTGGATCGGTCCTACGGGCTTCTTCATAGCCTCCTCTTCCTCCCTCTCCCACTCCTGCCTCTGCAGCTCTCGACGCATGTCCTCCGAGAGTAAGGTCTTATCATCTGAAGCTTTTCTATATGGAAGAATCACATCCAAAAACATTGCATCTCTCAGTATCACCAATATTGAGAAACTATCTCTTGGTCCATTAAATACTTTTTAATCGTAGTATATTTACCCTTTTCCTGTAAAGTCTTGGTCCATTTTCTTGAAACCTGGCAGGTCTTTCTTCATGCATCTTCGAGATCGGCCCAAAGCGTCAACATAATCCACCCTAAAGAGAAAGAACGCAGAAGGAGAACGGTTTACCATTAACCTTCACCATGGTATGTATGTGGTTTCACTTTTTAAATTAGAAATCAAATCAATCAGACGTTACCATTCCTCATCTGGATTTTGAGGAGGGGGGACAGATGAGTTGTCGCTCTCCTCATCCTTTCGTTCCGTTTCCTTCTGTTCATACATTTCTCTCTTTTTGTCAATAATCTTCTGGGTGAAATCAACCAGGAACAGTCCCTCCGTCTCTTCATCTGAGGCGTTACAAGACAAAATGATCACAAAGTAAATACACATCCCTGCACAACTAACTATCAGATATCAATTGCACTCAACCAACCAGGAAAGTCTCCCCTTGTCATCTGCTCATAGAGTTTGGCCTTCTCCTCCAACTTGCGTCTGTTAAAAGTAGATAGACGAGGAGTCAGACGTTTAGTTCACTGATGATGAGAATAACTCTACTGGTGATCTTCATGTGTTGAACGCACCGGGATGTGTCAAGGCTGGTCTGCTCCTCGGCCAGCTGCTCAGCGTCTTTCTCAGCTCTTGCAGAAACCCCCGTGTTTTGTTTACTCCAGACATTAGGTTTCTACAGAGGACAATTAAGACACGACGCCCTGGTTCGTCAAGCTGACACGGCAGACTTAACTTAGGTAAAAACATTGTTCAGAGGAGAACAGCAAGGTTTACTGTACCTTAACTTTGGACTTTGATGTGAATCCAGCTCCCCCATTTTCATGCCCAAGCTTTTCCTGTTTGAATTGTTCCTGCTTCCTGTATAGTTCCGCTTTAAGGTCCACCAGCTGTGAGAAAGAATACATAACGTTACATGTTTGTATTCAAGCTAACGCTAGCTATAGTTTGTACATGCTAGCACGTCACCCGGATGCAACGTTAAGCTCTCGTTAGCTGTTATTAGTTTGTATTTAATGTCACGCAGGGTATAAATATTGAGAAGCTCCTTCAAAAACATTTAAAAGATAAGCTTCTCAACGTAACTCACAGATGAAGCGGTCACGGCGAAGGGCTTCTTCTTTTTGTCCATGTTTAGGAGTTATTTCTTACAGCATATTGCTGTGGCCGCTGCGGCGCTGACTGCGCTGACTTCTTCGTTGTTTCTTCTTCTCTGTGTAGTAAAACGATTCATTACCGCCGCCTAGAGGCGTTTTGCTGTAAATACAGTACCGACCACACTGTCCCAATCTGCTCCCCCCTTCATAACCTGGATCTGTTGCATTTATCTTTGTCTCAGGTGCAACTGTGTCTCTGAAAAGTATATTTGAATTGATCCCATCGTTTCCCATAACAAAGAAAAGGCAGAATATGTGGAAGTGATGTTAAAAATAATTGTGCCCGTCCTGTTTAAAATTGGTTTGTGATCATCTTCCTCCTAGGAAGAATATCGCTTCCTAATCCAAGCCCACGGGCTTCAAAAGAAAACAAATACAAATGTTCTGTTGCGTATGGCCAACCAATGTGTGAAAGTATTGTGGAGAATCTCCTATTATTCCCCTGATGATTTGCTCGGTCAGATTGGTAGATGTTTTAATCCAATACAAATATACATAAATGGGCTACGATTTAGGCAAATTCCTCAGTTTGATGCACAACAACACTATAGGAGCGTTATTAGCCGCTGTGCAGTGTGCCTGTTCAGTATTGTGGTTAATGTCTAACTGTATTGATATGATATATCTTCCCCTGAGTAAACATTATTTGCAATAATTTCCATGTGTCCTGTGTTCTTGGAATAATAGCTTAATATTGACATGTTCCTGTAGACGTTCACTCCCAGTTATCAGGATCTCTATTACAGCGATTCAATTGTCTCCATCACCTGGAATAGATAAGAGGATCAGCCGCCTTGCTATTAGTGTACAACAGAGAAATGCCCACTCCGTTATCAATTTAAACATTTGAACAGTCCAACGCTACCAAGATATGAGATGCATTTGTAAACCAAAACGAAAGAGGATGAAACTATATAACGGTGTGAAGCCACAAGCTTTCCAACAGAGTCAAAGACATTTTGAAGGAGAGGTGGCTGTCAGAATCCGATTAGCAGATCAATCTTTTCAACTCTTTATACTTTAGATTATTTCTTCATACTTTGTGCAGTAGATCAAACGGTGATTTCAATTCCATCATGTTTGTGAAAAGAAACACCTGTTTGCTCGCCTTCCTGTTGTGCTCCCTGACCTTGTGGTGCAAGTCGACCAGCGCAGGCTCCAGCTTCCTCAGCCCGTCACAGAAACCTCAGGTAAGAGGCTCTCTCTCGCTTCATTCTTTAGCTCTTATAATGTAATCATGTATCTCTTTTGTGACTCAAAATTCAACATGTGATTCTGTATATTGGCCGCATGGTGCCAAAGGGGGAACATTTGACACATGACATGGGAGGAACTAAGGCCAGTACGGATGGTGAAATCATAGTTCGCACCGACTGCATAGACTTTATTCAAGACCCGGGAATTGTATCCTCTCGTTTACTGCACTAATGTGAAAGGGAATTCTTTACGCTTATGAGATTTCTCGGTTCCGGGTCAACCACAGAACAAGGGGAAGCCGCCCAGAGTCGGCCGCCAAGTCATGGAAGAGCTTAGTCAGCCTGCTGTGGACAACCACATCACAGTGAGTTGAAATGATCTCACCATACTACAGATCATCCCTCGAAATCCTCCCTATAACTGCACGGTCTTCTTTTCCTCTGAGTAGATAAGCCCCCCCTTCGATATTGGCTTCACTGTGAGAGAGGAGGACTTTGAGCAGTACGGTGTAGTGCTGCAAATCATCCGGCAGCTGCTGGGAAGCACAGAGCCTCCAAAAGGTTTCCCTGAACTCTCTTGTTTCACGCATTTAAAAGTTGCTCGTGGCTCGTATCAAATAATTAAACATATTCTTAAATGTTTTTTTTTGATATGTTTCATCTTGTTTCAGAGAGCCCAACACAACTTTGAAGATCATGGAGAAGAATGTAAATGTTGCTGTCTCAATGCCTTCCCATTTCCTCTTTAATTAGTAGCAGCCTGCATGTGTTGGTCTCCTCAAAACTGATTTGCTCAATGCTCTTAAAACTATTTTGAGAATCTGCTGATATTCGTCATTACAAACTAAAAAATAAGACTTTCTATCAGGTCAACCCTTGCGTAAGATTGACACAAGATCTTTCTGGAGCTTTCAACCACATCCCAGGGTCTTCCTCATCTATAGATCTGAATTAGCTTCGATCACATCACCTCATTATGAAAGCTTGGCTGATATAAATATGGTTTAATAGAATACAGGAGCTGATATAAATCATTATAGTTCTATATGAAACTTGAGTTATGATTTTGACACATTTAAACATTGATCTTAGTGGAATTTGTTTTGATTTCTCGCCATTTTAAAACTGTCCACTTATGAGCCACTCATATCCAGTGCAGTGATCTAATGTTGTTCAGTAATAAATCCACTTTCATTTGTTTTGTTCAGAGACCCACACGTGCCTGCAACAATAAAGAATCAACTCATCTTTTGTCTTTCTGTCTAATCTTTAAGCAAACGATAAGAAAAAACCCAGGTTGAATCTCTTTGTCATATTGCAGGTTATGCACTTGCCACGACACAAAGACTCGTAATAAGGTATTGTATACAAAAATGTACCCGACAGGTGAATAATGACCAACACCGCAAAAAAAACATCCTGTTCCATTCTGAGAAATGTTGTCAAACACAGCAAAGTACATACTGCTCCGATGCTCGAGTGTGTCCTACATTCCATCCAGTAGCTTTCAATAAACACAGATAAACAACCATGAACACTATGTGCTCGGAACTCTTTTAAATTAATCTTTGATTTAGAACCTGGCAAACAAAAGGGGTTTAGGTCTGTATTTCAAAAAATCCCTCTTGAAGATGTATGTACAAGAGAAACATTTATTCATCTATCAGTTATCTGGTTTGCACTCCCTCAGAAAAACTCCCAGGTAGGCAGCGCTGATCATTCCTAAAATAAAAAGCACTTCAGCCAAATGTGTGTGAAATATTTTATCAAAACAAGGGAACGGGCCGTCCTCACGAGAATCAATGTGTTTCTGTATGAAACCATATTCTGCTAAGTCTCCATCTGCAGGTGCTCCATAGTCACCACCAATGCATTCAAAGATGATTCAATAAAACCTAAATGCAGAAATAAAGGAAAACTGGGATAATAGGTTTTTAATGTGTGCCCACTGTACAACAAACGTAACGCCAGCTGAACGAGACAAACATCCAAACAGCAGATGTCACAAAAGCAATGAGATCAAATATTGGAGGAACAATAACATACAGTATTTCAGACAAGAGACATAATTGCCTCCTATACGAAAGTCTTTTCGTTTATTTAAAATTCCGCTGCTCTCCAAGTGGCGGATTGAGAACTCCATAACAAAAAGGGACATAGTCTGTTTGTATGACTAACCAGCCCTCCAAGACTAAGATCAAACTCCGTAGAGTTGGCGGGTGTTGTCTCGGACAGTGGTGAGGACCGTCGCCACGTCCTCTCCCTTCAGCAGGCTCAACTCATGCAGCGTGTGGATCCCCATGCCAGGGTGGGAAAATCGGCAGACATCTTTCCTCACCTGTTGGAGAGGCACACTTATCACACGTTGGCAAAATGTACTTTGTTCCATTGTATCGGTGCGGTCAGCGCTAGAGCAGCGCTCAGGTTTCCTTTTAAATGCACCTGTCTTGGCAGGAAATACGGTGCGTCCGTCTCCAACACGATGCGGTCCAGAGGGATCTGGCGGACAGCGTCTCGGGCCTCAGTGGCCTTGAAGTAGGTTATCAGGGCGGTGAAGCCCACATACAGGTTTGGGAACTCTCTGAGGAAGGGCTCAATCACTGGATAGCTGTTTGTGAAACAGTGTCTGGAAACGCATAAGTGAGAAAATCACTCGATGAAATGCTCAACTGTTTCCTCTTTGAGGGTCCTTCAGTTCTGAGCAATGTTGAACTAATGAGTTAATTTGAATAAAATAAACAATTCTGCTGCCAAAAGTGAGAAATTATATATTTGCCAACCACAGCAACAAATGCATTAAGTTCCTGTGACTGTTTTGCGAAATAATGATAATTTAATTACATGACGCTATCACTTGAAAGGCGAACCTAAATACAATAAAAACAGGGTGTAATTTAAGGGTTGTAACCAAAAAGACAAATATTTCAGATTATTTCATGAGAATAATAAGACTTTCCCTCCCAAGACACCTGTGAATTCTGTAGTCCCTCGGCACACACTTCTTCATAATTTCCAGCAGGTCATTGTCAGCATCCCTGCAGTGGATGACCAGGGGCTTCTGCATGGACACCGCGAGACGCAGCTGGCGCTCAAACACCTTTGCAGAGAAAAACAAAACAAGGACCACGCCACTCGTTATTTTGCAATAAAATTATTTCCAGTATCTTACCAATGATAATGGTCATTTTAGCTTAAGCTAACACAGATATTTCTGACCTGTTTTTGCTTGAACTCGTTGGTGGAGTTCTTGTGGGAGTAGTCCAAGCCGATCTCCCCGAACGCCACAGCTTTTGGATGCTGCATGGCCTTTAGTATGTCCCGTTCCTGGACACTTGAGTAGTCTTTTGCAAAGTGGGGGTGGCACCCAAATGCCCCCCACACCATGTCCTCAGCCAGCAAACCTTCCCACAGTGCCTCTTTCACCATGAGTCTAGGGTTGCAAAAATTTGCAATGCAGCCTCTAAACTCTGGTGGAAAGCTGCTTTTGTAGTGATTCCGAAAGCTGTTGAACGTCCCACTGAAGCCAAGCTTTGCATACAGCATGTCTATGTGGCAGTGTGTATCTACAAAACCCACTTGACTGTCCGGGAAGGGGTAACTGCTCCACATAGGTTGTGCGCCAAGTGATAATCTTCTTTTAAGAGTGCCGCCGTGAGTAAGGGAGCCGGTGGGGTAACGCATGGAAGCACTATCTGACTGCCTGCGTGTGGTTGCTGACTTCACGCGATGGTTCAATACTCTTTTGGAAATTAGTGGCAGTGCAAAGGGGTCCCTGTAGGCAATCAGGTTGAAATTGTCAGTCTCAACTTTGGATGTGTGTGGCGGGGCAACTTTTGTTTGGTGGGGCTGCTTTACGGAGACACAAACGCCCCCGTGTGACAATGGATAAGGCGCGTCCTGGACGACCCCAGGAGTCTCATTTGGGGAAGAAAAGGTGAAAGAAGTATACACTGGTGGACTTCCCCATTCTTGGCTGTCAAAAGGTTCATTCTGGTGAATCTTGAGAGTAGATGAAGAATTAGGTGTATACTCCATGGGGTCACAGCACTCGGCTTCTGGTTTATTTTCTGCAGCAAAGGACTGGACTTGAGAGGTTGTTTCTACAAGCACAGAGTTTGGGGCAGTGGACGTCTTGGGTGAATCCAGCATAACACTCTGAAAAACGTAGACAAAATTAAAAGATGAGAGCTCTTTTCCCCCTGTGACTTGATGACTTTTTTTTGTGGTCACTATATTGTAAGGACGTACATTGAACATTTGCTATGGATGCTTTTGATGAACACAGAAAATTTAAAGATGAACTAAAATTAAAAATGATCTAATAGATTGCCCGAGACTAAAATATTGAGTAAAACTAGAACAAGAAAATAATTTGTCAGTTAACTTACTCTTGAGTCTGTTTTAAACTCAAAGCTGTCAATTTGGACTTCCGTGTCCTCCAACACCTGGAGGGGGCACCACTGTTCCTCCTGGACAGTGTCGCTGTGCTCGGATCTGTACTCCGCTGGGATCAAGGGACACTTGTCTGCTCTTTCAAACGTTGGATTGGGTGTTTCCGTCTTCAATGGCGAAGACACAAATGGCAAAGCCCTGGGAAAACTAGTAGTGCTGCCGTTCGCGCTGTCAATGGCTGCGACCACTGCCTTCCTGTAGATGGTCTTTGAGGCCTCCTCGGGTGTTCTCGCTTTCTTTTTTATGATGAAAGAGTGAGTTGGAGGTGAAGGTGCTCTCTCTGGGGATTCCAGCTGCCTGGGTGAGATGTCAGTAGGTTTCTCCTGATAATGATGGTGAAAATGTACAAATAAATCAGCGATGTCTTTACAGAACTAACATAATGCAATAGATAACAGATTGGAGACTTCAGCTATAATAAAATGATTTAGATCGACAATTACAAAGATGGGCAGAGCAAGATTAACAGAAAAGGTTTACCTCTGAATTCATGACATTTTCATAGTTTTTCGCGGAAAGCTTCCTCAGCTTGACTTTACCCAAAGATGGCGCACTTTCACAGACCACCGCCGCTTTTCTCTCGGGGGTCCAGACTCGGCCCAGACTCATCGCTCCGAGACCTACAGGTTCTGGAGAGTCACCAAGGAGCAAGGCATCTGCAACTTCAACCGGTGGGGTTTTCCATTGAGAAGGTGTGCCTAAACCAGGATCTCTCTCATGAAGATTTGTAGGCGAGGTGGTTGCAGTTTGTAGCCACTTAATCAGCAATTTCTTTTTGCTGCTGTCCATGTCAGCTCTCTAATCCAAACCAGAGAGAGACATGAATTAAGAGCTTTAGAAAACACACAAACATCACCACTGTTCAATTTCTCAAATTAGTTGATCAACAGAAAAACAATCACCAAGTATTTTGAGAATTGACTAACATTTTAGGTAAAGTATCATGCTAAAGTGTATGTATGATTTATTTACAGTGTAGTTTAAAAAAAAAATGGCACCATTATATGGTCTACCAGATTACCGTTTAAAGTTTATTTGTATCCATAGTCCCTTGGCAGCTCAGAACAAATTAAGCATTACAAGTAGAACTATAATACTAAGTTTAACAACAGAAATAGCCCCACAAGGCATGCAGTACGTATATAAAAGCAAGGGACCGGTCCCTCGGTCGAGAGAGGTACCTCGAGCGGTGCCCCGAGTTAAAGGAGCGTTGCCACGACCTAAGGGAGCTGTGCCTCGGCTGATAGAGGTACCTAGAGTTTAAGGGAGTGTTGCCACGGAGGGTGAGAGTGCTGCGATTGTTTGGGAGAAGTGCAGCGGCAGTTACTTTTAGTATTTCGAGAATATAATGCAGTTTAAGTACACCTGTTATCTGCAGGTCGAGTTGCTGCGGCGAGTCGTGGCTTCACGACAGCTACTTCGACTGTTGCCGTTTTCTTTTCATATTTTGACCATATGTGACAATACTATACGGCCCTTAGGAGTGTGAGTGTTGTTAGGTGTAATTTGTTTAGTCATAAAACGCCGAAAAGTGATACAATGGCTTCTTTATGGGCTAAGACCAGTTTGCACGTGTTGCCTTGGTTACGATAACCACTTTCAGGCAGCACCCCGAAGGAATGCAAATTGTAAATATTGATAAGATGCATTATAACGTTTCAAATATTGAGGAGTTATGAAAGCTATTTGGATATATACATATATATCTATGTGTGTGTGCGTGTTTGTGTATATGAGAGACAGTAATGCAGGATAAGTTACATTGTACTGTTAACAATGAGAAATTCCCATAAAACCTATTGATTTGGATATATGCATACAACATGCTGGGTGGCAAAGCAGTGTCTCAACATGCAGCCGTACAATAACAGATTAACATCATGTGACTGTTTGTTGCTATGATTGGTTTGTATTTGTAATAATATGGCTACTTCATATATATATATATATATATATATATATATATATATATTGAAGCCATTGTAGAAGCCAGAGTTTTTTACCCATTTAGCCACAAAAGGGATAATACCTTTAGGTGAGCACTTCAGGAGTAAATAAATAAATTTTAGTCTGCTGGTGCAGTTGCTATTGTGACACCATAGCACTGCCTGCATATGTACTGAATATAATCTTATATCATCATGTAAATTCATACAGATTTTTTTCCTTATTTTATATTGCTTGCAGAATTTTAAGTGTTTTTTTATTTCTAGTTATCAAATAAAATGTTTTGAATTGTATATCAACTTATTTTTTTATAACTGTTAATTTTAAGAATACTGAAATCAAAAAAATATATTTTGCGCGCACATTGCGGCTACCAGATTATCTATTAGCTAGCTAACTTAACATTACGGTTAACAGGCAACATTAGCTAACTCAAGTTAGTGTGCCCACTAGTTAATTCTATAACGATACGGGTTTTCTCCGGGTCAAAAGTTACAATCGTTTTTCGGGGGGAGTTTGTGCAGCTGTGAGTAGACCTCGGTGGGAAAGAAGTGTGGCAGACATTGTTGACATGTAACTTAATTTAGGCAATAAATGAGACAGTCCGGTAGCACCTCACATTAGCAAACTAGCTAACTTGAGCTATTTTTACTGTGATTTGAACTGCGACACGGACAGTACATTCTTGTTTTGGCAACGAAAAGACGCGTAAATGCAACGTATTTTTATTATTACTTCAAACTGCGTTATCACAAATACATATATATTATTCAAATAGGTAATTTCAAGGATTTGTCACGTTACCTTCACAGAATCCGCACAGGATGGACTGCAAAGCGCGTTAAAACAATCAGCGTTAAGTTAGTTCAGTCAGCCATTCTCCTCTCGCTGGCTGACACCAACATCCGCTTTTAACGTTTCTAAATAAAAAAGCTAAATATGACCACGTGTTTTAGAAGTTTAACTATGGTATTCAATTTCAAAGTGTGTATGAATAAATTAACCGCCAGATTGTGTTTGGTTTAAACTAAAGCAGAACGAGTTAATCTACATCTCGCGAGATCGATTCCACGGGATTTGACTAATGGGCAACAAGAACCGCGAAAACTGTCGAGTTTGGCAATTAGGTAAACAGAACACAACACAAGACACATTTTATTTATACAGTACAAATGATGTGCTTTTTATTCCTAGTGCCTTGCTCAATTTTAACTCTAAATAAAAAAGGAGGGTTTAAATACTGAATAAAATAAATGTGGGATACACAGTTCAGCCTACAGCAGAGATCGACAAGGTGTTTCAGGCCAAGTATCCCCAAACTGATAAGAAAATGGAGCAGGGACTAACATAAATTGTATACAATTGTGTTTTATATCAAACTGGAAAAGAGAAGTCACAAGATGTGACAGATATTTCTCTTAAAAATGCTGCTTGTGATATTTAGAACTGTTTAAATTCCTTTTATTAAATACAGAAAATATGGATTTCTGTTTACGCGATCCACTGTACCCACATAAAATTAATTGTAAACAGCCATAGAAGATCCGCATGAGATAATTATGGATAAGGGACAAAGCAGCAGGAGATTTGAGCTACTTTGTCAACTTTGAAAGGCTGAGAACACTGTGTTATGTCTGAACAGCAGGATCAGAAATTAACTTGATTTATTGAATGGGAATTTGAATGTCACAGATATTCTTGGATAGATGACACTTGCTTACTGCTTGGATCATTGCTTACATGCTGAGCCCTTCTGTTCAATAAACCAATAGGAGAAGCCCCCCCTGCACGGCCGTTGAACTAATTCCTAAACCAGGCCATGAGAGGGCCATTATAGTTAAACCAAAAAGTCACAAATAATACAAGAGAATGATATTTAAATAACTGTCAATGTGGGACCTACTGTATGCTCGCACCATGGAAGATGCAGGGAATAGGGACAGGCTGCTTTTGGGGGTAGTTTTCATCATCTTCATGTGATACATACACAAGGAATCCAAATCAGTGACACATTTTTCTATGAACGGAACTCGCTTCCTTTTTGTATTGTACAAAGTGCTCTCGTGGTCAGCTCTTAATTTAATATTATCTTTTAAATAGGATTACTTTCACAAACCCAACTCTTCAGGGCAGCTGGAACAGATCTAAGATGAACCGGAACCCCTAGGTGAGGACGGTTTATAGTACCACATGAATACAAACTATGTTTTTACAAACTATGTTTTTGTAAGTGTAATTAGATTTTGATTATTCTTTTGAAAGCAGGGTTTGTTTCAATTGTTCTTACCATTGTTTTCATTTTGCTCCAGTGGTCTCTCTAGACATGTGGAAACGTTATTGGGTGAATCCTTTGCCAAAATGTTATGCTGATGAGGTAAATTGCAGGATCAGGAATGTAAGGTACCATCTACTCCTTTGTCCAAGTCAATGACATCATGCAAAACAAAGCAGCAAACAAAAACATGTATGTGTGTGTGGGGGACACAGATGACGCTTTTAAAAGAGACTACTTACTTCTCTCCCCTAAAACAACCTGGTTCCCATGTTTTTTATTTTCCCTATCCTGCATGTTCCTTTTATATTTATGCAGCCGGCTCACCTCGATTCACACAACTAAAGGGTTATGTTACTTTGTCGCTAAGCAACATGTTTGGTAACAGTACTCCTGATTTTAGCATTTTAGTTGAAAATGACATCCTTGTGTTTGTGAGCATCAATTATGTGCAGTTATTCATCTTGTACCGGGTAGATCAATCAAAAACAACAGTCAACAAATAGCTTCAATATCAAGTCTTCACAGCTTCCGACCAATAAGAAATATATATTTTATTTATTTTACAAATGGTGATGGTCTTGAGATACAGTAACAATGTATGTATTTGAAACATGGTGACAGAGGAACAGAATAAGCAAATAATTACAATAAGTAAATCAAAACAAAAGTATAAATCCTCAATTACAGTGTTTCACAGCCTGATTTTGTTTTTCAGCTGCAACACAAAAAGAGACTTATGGTGGCAGGTATATTCTGATAAAAAGTCCAGATTTACCAGAGCAGGTATCTGTAAGATGTTTTTGAGGGTACCAGTAAACTGGATTAGTTTAGATCCCCTCATCTCAGGCATACCTATATCAAATGTAGAAAAAAAATCTATCTTATTGTCTGTAATAGCATTTCCTTGGAGGGAGTATATATATATATAAACCTGGCTATATATGATAAAAAAATAAGTGAGTAAGATAATCAAAATGTCCCAATTGCCTTTTAAGAATAAACATGTAAATGCTTAAATATTTATTTTAAAGTAAAAACAGTACAACAATACAATTTATTTGAATATCACATTATATACAATCTCCTCTTCCTAAAAGGTAAACGTTAGGTAGACCTTTTTTCTGCAGAAGGCAGCATTTGCCGAAGCCAATGCGATAATATAGCAAATAGTAGATCATCATTCGCAGTAAATGTGTGAGACCTCAGGAGCAACTACTGCTCGCTCCCTCACCTAAAAAGTAACTTGAATATCTGATATTACATTTCATGAATTCAGGGTTCTTTAATTCTAATTGTGTAGGATACAATATTGTTGTTCAAACGTGACCATTATCCATAGTTTCATAACTCATTCCTCCTGGCATTGGATCCTTTCCAGCAGCTGCTGCTCAACTCGCTGGTTTATGCGATGCAGATCTTTCAGAACACTGGGCTGATCTTCCAGCTCCTCGTGGAGACATCGAGCTATTTCCAACCTCCTGTAGTCTTCTGCTCGTACCAGACGCCGAATAACCTGAAGAGCACGATCCTTGAGGCTGTAAACTGTGTAAACCCAACACACAAGGGTTTGTCAAACGTTGAGAACCAAGGACCATCTTTTCTTCAAACTGCAACAACTATCAGATTGAATAGCCCTGTTTTACAACCACTTAATCCAAATCAATAGGGGGAAGCATTTCACCTCGACTACTCGGCCCATACAATCTAAATTTACAGTCATCAGTTACAAAAGCCAATAACAGCAGGACCGGAAAGGCAAGAATTGTACTAAAAAAAAAGTCAAAGGGATGGCCAAATCAACACTGATAACTTATGACATTCACGTCAACTTAACTTAATGTGTGGTGTCAATCTATAGCTCACATTTGGCCATAGGAGTGTTTGTACGGCCCATTTGCTCGCTTATTGGATTAATTAAAAAGATCCAGAGAAAAATCACACTGCACTTTCCTCCATTCCTCCCCTTAGCTACCTGAGCGCCTGGCAACAGGGATGACAATGTCTATGGCAATGACTATCAAGAGAAAAAAGTTTTTTAATCGACTGAGCGTTAACGTGAAGTAAGATGAAACTGTCAAAATAAAATAAAATTGAGTGAGAGCTTTACTGCTAGCTATCCCAATTTAAATGTAGATGCTGTTACCTCTATTCCTTTGACGCGCACAATTTAGGAGTGTCTTTAGGGCCGTACCACTGTCAAATAGTCAAGTGCTGGAGGGTCGCTTCCATATATTTTTTAGCAATTTATGCATGATTTAAATAAGTCGGACGACTTTGACTGAAGGAATTACCTACAATTCATAGAGTTTTTACATTAAACATTACACCGGGTGCCTAGGGAAGTATAGAAAATTCACAAAGAAATATTAAGAATTTAAGATGATACAAAATAGGTAATGTATGGTATGGTTATTAATCCTTATGAAGCAGACAGCCTTTGAAAGCACACAAACATGATTTATTCTGGAATTTATTAACAAGCTAAGTGATCTCTGATAAATCCACGGTGTAAGCACTTTTGGTTGCGTTTCTGTGAGTAGTAGTGAAATACATTTACAGAGATGGGGCTAGTCATACCTGGTAAATTTATATCAGCATTTCTACCCTCTGCTGGTTTAGGGAGAAACAATTCTTTGCCATTCACATTAAGTGGCTCATCAGAAATTGCATCCCGGAACATCCATGGATGACCTGGGAAAATAATAAATATAACACATTTAAACATTGAAAATGATAGTCTTTTTGTAAATGTGGATACTTTCTCCCTATAGGAAACCTGGAAACAGTGCCAAGCATATTCAGTCCAGCACTGAGCAAAGTTCTGAGAGAATTATTGTACTCTCTTCTCCACTATACATCTATTTGACTTTAGTTACTTAAAAAAAAGTAGCTATTTTTCTAACCAATAATACGATTTATAACATGAATCCACATTAAAAAAGGACATTCTACATAATGAAAACTTTTACTTTTGGTACTTTACATTACGATGCTAATACTGTTGTACTCTAGTAAAATATCCGAGTACTTCTATCGACGCTGGAAACGTGAACGTAGTTCAAATCTGAGACAAGTGGCTATAAAATCCAGTAACGCAGGCTTGTGATAGAAGCTGCCTTACCGATAAACGTGGCCATTTCTCGTCCTGTTCCCGGCTGTAAATCAACGTACGCCCGAGGTTCCCCGCGGTAATCTATCCACAGTGGTCGCACAACACGGGGGCTGAGGTTACGAAACAAAGCGCTAATGGCTACGTGACTGTTCAGGGAGCGAACCAGCGGGAGAGAGTGCTCTCCCTCCTGAGGCATTGGTGCTGGTATCCTACACTTTATCGTTAGCGCAGTGAGTTTAGCTGTTTTGCTAACGCTAGCTCGCAGTAGGGAAGCTAGCCATGTCTGTTGATACAGATCGTAGAAACAGCGATACATGTATCACTCGGTTCGCCAAACGACATGAATACACCGTTTACAAACACGGATTACGAGCAACTAGTACATTTACATTAAACTACAGCGGGAGAACCTTTTACACGCACTTCTCAATCTCAACGAGCTTTGTTTACATTCACTCTTCCGGTTAGTTGTGGGACCTCAGAGTGTCCAGTGCTGTGATTGGTCGAAAGACATGACGACGCTTCGGTCTCACGTAGGACGTGTTTCATAAACCATACTGTTTTACAAAGAGATGTAAGTGAAATATGACAGTAAATATGTCATAAATTAAAAAACGTTGAACCATCACATTCCTTCTAAATGATTGTTTGTCTCATTTCAAATACCGAGCTGGTCTATGTTTCTGTACAGTTCAAAATTATTCGGGCCAATGGGCGGCTATACTGTATAAGGCAGTCCAAATTAAATGAATCCGTTATGCATCCGTAACCAATATTATTCCAATTGGTTTATAAAATGTACAATACAACTCAAGCTGTGGTTATTTTACATAATACATTATTTTATTTTTATTTTTGTTTCAATAATATCGTTGTACTTTTTGTAATAACTATTCATGTTTAATTAATTCAGGTCTATTGAGTCATATATAAACAGCCTTGGCAAAAATGAAGGCATTACAAATCTAGAGAGAGTTATAGGTTGATCTCAAAGTGTATTTAACTATAAGATCACCTTGATATCATTTCTTGTTTTCTTGTTGTGTACAAAGAGATTTGACTTATTTCCACGTGTAGCTTTAAGCGATGATCACAATCCTGGATTAATCTAAGCCCCACCCAGTTTTATACTCACATAAAGCAAAATGGCACAGCTGTACAAGACCACCCTCCTCCCTCAGAATGCAATGTGAGCTCGAGCACTGCAGTATCAAATACCCTCCTGGACTATTTGACAAACATACAAGACGGTAGGTACAAATACTTGTTAAATGCCTTTCTGACAAATGGTTACTTTTTAAATTGTAATAACACACTGAAAATATCAATATACACCGTTGATAAGTGACAAACTTGGTTATTACGCGGACATGTTTTTCGGATCCTTTTGTTTTGGAAAAATAACGAGTGACTACTTCCCTCCTCCACCAGTCTGAACTCTTAGAGACACAAACACAATGTGTCCCCTGAATGGCAGTGACTTTGCAGAGGACGTGGCCAGAGACGAAAGTTTGGCCAAGCTTGAGATCGCGCTCCTCAGCGTCGTCTTCATCGGGGCCGCCATCCTCAACACCTCCCTGTTGCTTGTCCTCTGGGGACAGCGCAAACACATGTCCAGGATGCGCGTCTTCGTCTTCCACCTGTGCCTGGCGGATCTGGTGGTCGCTTTCTTCCAGGTGTGCCCGCAGCTCATATGGGACATCACCGACAGATTTGTCGGACCGGACCCCGTGTGCCGCCTAGTTAAGTACCTCCAAGTTCTCGGCATGTTTTCATCGACGTACATGATCGTCGCGATGACAGTGGACCGATACCAAGCCGTCTGCAACCCGATGGTGAAGTTCCAGCGGTCCCACACGGGACTCAACGTCCCCGTGTGCTCGGCGTGGGGGGTTTCTCTGCTGGGCAGCTTTCCGCAGATTTTTATTTTCTCTCAAATCGAGGTAGCACCTGGTGTGTTTGACTGCTGGGCCACGTTTGTCCAGCCGTGGGGGCTGCAGACTTACATAACCTGGACCACTCTAGTCATTTTTATTTTACCCGTTATTACGGTCGTTTTCTGTCAAGTGCGCATCTGCCGCGCCATCCAGATGAACCTCCATCAAAAGACTGCAGGGCTGCAGGGCCGAGCCGGTCACCCCGCGCCTTCCCGGGGCAGCGGGGTGGCCGGCATGTCCAAGGCCAGGGTGAAGACGCTGAAGATGACGGTGGTCATCGTGGTGGCTTATATTGTCTGCTGGGCTCCATTCTTCACTGTGCAGCTCTGGTCCGCCTGGGACACAAACGCGCCGAAGGAAAGTAAGTGGCTAAGTTATTCATGCCTGAAAATCGTTGTATTTATTGAACTTTACCCAAATTTGCGCATTTACGCAAGAAAAAAAACAATCGTTTTCTCGGGGATGGAAAGGGACACTTGCAAACAGGACGCTTTGTCATTTCAGCTGCAACTTTCACCGTCCTGATGTTGCTGGCCAGTCTGAACAGCTGCGCGAATCCCTGCATTTACCTTCTGTTCAGCGGTCAGTTTCCCAAGAAGATGCGGACATTTCTGTGGCAGTGGCGCCCCAACGGTAAGGATTCAATCCGCGAAGAGGCGACAATGGTCAGCACGTTGTACATGAGCTTCAAAAATGTGTCCGAGGCCAATTGAGAGTAACTACTTTCAATCTGGAGACTGGAAATGGGCTGCTCGCCTCCGAGATCTGTCTGCCTTTGAAGGACGTTTTCTTCTGAGCAGGTCACATGGGGATAAGAAATACTGGACCTATATGTAAAATATATATACATGGTAGGCATTATGGATCAAGGTTATTCACCAAAAGTAAAAAAAAAACGATTGAAAAAAAAAGGAAATAAATAATAAGATGTCAGAAACAACATAAAATGATACCTAATATAAATATAATGTGTTTTCCCAAAGATAATTCTGTTACAAAGAGTGAACGCAAGAATGTGTTTTTGTGAATAATAAAGCTTTTGTATACTGTGTTTAAAGGCGGTGACATGAATTTGTCACTAAATGTTCTGTGGTAAATAACTATTTTAAAATCACATACTGAGTGACTGTAGATTTGCAGGTATTTGACTCATTTTATTCATTTTCACTTGCACTTTTAAATGTATCCCACAGTCAATGTCATGAACCAATATGAACTATTATTAAACCTGCAGTCTGGCGAACATGGTCGGCCTCTCCTCACTCACAAGGCTCACTCCCGCTGAGTTACATGTCCACGTTTCCTTTTATTCTCCTGTTTTGTTCACTGCTGTTAGTCTAATGACCCTGCAGTCACTCACGTTAAATTTAATAACAACCACACCGTTTTACCAAACCTAAACAAATGGTTTTGTTGCCTAAACCCAACATCCTGTGAAGTTTATTTTGAAAGGATACTAGCTTTGAGTGACAAGCTGTCACTGACATGTGAGTGACGCTGAACGGTTGTGTGCGGCGTCTTATTCTGGAGCCTTAAAACCGATCTGCGTTATCTTACTGTGTGAGAATGTGTTGCAATGGTTCGTGTGCATGATCTGCTTGTCTACAGCGATTTCAATATTGAAGCAGCAGCTCTGACACCGCCTGGAAAATGTTACACATACAGGGGCCGAAGCCCATCTATTTTCAGCTGCACCCTGGTAATTACAAGGGCACTTTCACATTGTGAATACAAACAAAAACCCTTGCTGATGTTTCAACTCCCGAACCCCCCAACACACGTTTCTTATTTCTTATTAGAAATAATCCCATACTAGATAAAACGTAAGCAGAAGTACAGACAACTTCTAACACAAAAATAACAACATAACTTTGGGAGTTGAGCAGTCATTGGACCCATCCACCTTAATATATGTGTATATATTTGTTCTTTATTCATGTTAACATGGATTTTATACAAATCTTGACTCGATTGAACGCCTGCTTATTGTCAAAACAGAGCCCAAAGGATGCTTGGTGTGTCCCTATTGGGCCTTTAGGGGCGTGAAACAGCACCGGTAAGTCTCCGCAATCCATTTGGACAATTCAGAAACAAATGCTCCATCAGTACACCAGACGCACGGCAGGTCACTAAGTGTCTGCTTGATGTTGGGAATATGTTGGGGTGGAAGCCAACAATAACACAACAGTTTCATCCCAGAATGTGATTCAGTACTTTAACTTTCAGGACCTTCAGTTGGAGTTTGTCCAAAATAATCAGAGCATATAGTAAATATATACTAACAGTCTACATTTCAATCGACATTTATTTATGTCAGTTGCAGTAACATTGTGGAAGAAGTGAAGTCCTCTTGTAAAGAAAATAAAGTCCAACAACTTTATATTCCACTTGAGAAGTGTAAGGACGGAAGTACACTTTTTTTTCACTCATTTCAACTTGTTCTGTTGTTGGTCTTAGTAGGTAAAAGACTACTTTAGTAGGTAAAAGACATACACATATTTAACTTCTGGATGAAAAATAGTTGAAAGGTGTTTTTTCAGACTTTTTCAGAAGATAAATTATTGCTTCATATGATGGAGAGACATTGTATCTGTGTTTATTTTGTTGTTTCCAGGTATAAATACCCAATACCTATTTAAGCATATGAACATTTATTCAATTATTTACAATACGTTATCACTTTGATATGAATAAATCCTGAATATCCACTTGTTTCAGCTGTTTTTATGTGAATATTGGCTCCTTTCATGATTTTTAGAGTCCACATATAAAAGAATATTGACAACTTATGACCCACTGGGTTCTGAGAAATTGTGATGTGATTCATGTTTACACTAAACATTAAATAATTTACTCTCTTTTTAAATATCAGACTAAATAAAAACAGCATCCAGGGAATGTGGTTAAGCATCATTTTAACAGAAGACAGCAAAAAGAGCGTGAAACTCTACCAGACCATTTTTGAAAGAGGCCAATGTTTTCTTTTGTGAAGCATTCAATTTATTGACGGGTGCAATAAAGTCTGACAGCTTGGTGAACAGCGAATCAGCAATATGATGGAGAATATTGCTCAACACAGGATTATAGATTTTACATGCACTATGAAAACATTTATGAAACAAAAAGACATAATATTGTTGAAGAGTCCAACGTATAACTGTAAATAAGATTTAAAATGTAAATATAACTTTAAAAAATACAACTATTACCACAACTGGCACAACAAATCACAATATCTGATCAAATGACCAGCGGTCGAGTTGGATTGTTAGTAATGCTGGTGGAAAGTAATGACAAAAAAAGACTCGATTTCTGTAAAATAATTTAACCGTCATGTCAATGTTATACGGAGGGATGTTGAATGATGACTCACTCTCATTTAAAACAAAGCCCTGAATGAAACCACACTGTCAAGTTATTTACTTCCTGAGTGCCAACAGAAAAGACCATATAAGGATGATGTGACGATGGCCTTCTCGTATCTGTGAAGACTGGGTCTATTCCTTTATTAAAATATCCCAAAACACTAAATTAGGAAAACCAACATCTTCATATTCGAAGTGATTTAGTATTGCGATCGATGCTTTAGCTTACTGATGAAAAGATTATTTCCTAACAATTCTGTGACACAAAGAGACACTTAAGAGTCCAATTCTACAAACTGTAGAACATCAGTTACGCTGCACAACACTTTATCTGCCTCATATTTACAGCAACAGTCATACAAACAGCACCTCGCGAACAAATCGCAAGAAATTCTGAAAACTGAGACACAAAAACAACATAAAAAAATAAAAAAAAGATCTTAATCTCATCACTTTCATCATTTACAATCTTCCAATCACGTATCTGGTTCACTGATTCATCAAACTTCTCAAAAGACACCGAGATGGGGCATAGGCACACTATTTTACCATTCCACACAGCATCGACAGAGTGAATGAAGACGGGTACATTTTCTCACTCTCTTAATTAGAAGACATTTCTAATTTTCACTTTCTTGTTTCATGAAGCACATCATCTGACAGGAACATTAGCTTTGGTTGAACACGAACCAGACAGCAGTTCTAACAAGTATACCCACTGTCATTATCATCCCCTCGGTGTCTTGTTTATTGTATAAAGAACTGGTGTAATAATAGAAAGCACACACGGATGAGTAGATCAATTACTTTCCAACCTTCTGCCATACAAAAATACATCAGATTTAATTCCAAGATTCAAAATATTCCCCATAGAAACCGATCTACACACACATTCCCTCTCAAACCTACAGCAGCTGACACCAAAAAACATATCTGATAAACCCACAAAAAGATCTGAGTGCTAAGTGAATATATATTTTCTGTTTGGTTTAACAACAGATTAAAGTAGGTGACTGAGAATATGTCTCTCTCACCTGCATGCAGTCTAACTCTCCTTGGAAAGGAGTTCTAAGGGAAACTGTGTTTGTGTATTTGCAGCTACCAAGGAATCCGCCAGCTGCATTATAGGAAGCTAAAGGAATCAATCTGGTACACTCTTTCTTTCTTTTTTAATTTACTCTCAAGAGTGACATTTTAAGCCCTACTGACCTTTTCTCATATAATGGATTTGAGACACCGGTCACAGGCGGCGTTGCGAAGCATCGATCACTAAGAGTAAAGCCACAGAGCGCATGAAGATCCAGGCGTGGGAGAAATCTTTTCTTTTTTACATTAACCGACGCTGTGACATCACAGGCAGAATAGACGAGAGCCCTGTCTCCCCTCCTCCCCTTCGCCGTGAGGAATACGGGGGAGCATAGCTGAGCGGGTCAGACCCCAGAAACGAGGTGGACTCAAATCCTTCTTGCTGGCGGTAAACTTCCAGCCCATGTGAGACCCGCAGGTTCGACACTGAGCGATTGTCCAGGCGTACCTGTGGGGAAATGAAGAGCAACCTTCAGACATGAAGATGTAAAAACATTACTCGTTTGGATCTATGGGGCATTTTTCTCTGAGGGCGATCCCACCAGAGGACGGTCTCAATTTTATGTTCCCTATTAACATACAACTCATTATAAAAGCCATTAAAGAGGCACATTTATTAGAATATTACACAGTTATACTAATTGTGGTATTAAAGCATGGCTAAAACCCCTGAAAGGCACAACGAGGGGTTCAGAGTGGATCTTATCACTGTGTGTGTGTGTGTGTGTGTGTGTGTGTGTGTGTGTGTGTGTTTGGTCACGCATCTTTCAACAGCCCGAGGGAGGAGTGAGAGCTAAAGGTTTAAAAAAAAGTTTACCCTGGAAACCAGCTGTGCAGCGTGGACGGCCGGCCGACCAGGTTGAGGTTATTGGCTTTGTAGACGGTCAGAGTCTCATGGACGTAACCGTGAGGGTTGACGTATGCAGCCATGGGTCCGTACAGAGACAAGCTGCAGGGAGAGGACAGGCAGGAAGATTACGCCATAAGAAGTGATAAGGACTTCAGCTAACGGTTCAGCCAAAAAACAAAACATCAGAATGGACTTTTTCAAATAATAAATAAAACAGAAATGGACGAAAAACAACATCATATTGCCGAGGTGGATTCATTAAACGGTGTGGTGTAAAACAACACCGTTATGACCACTCTGGAGTGAAGTTGTACCTCTCAGAATATAAATGACATTTGCAAATAAATAAAATACTGTTGAGATGAAGAGGCCAGAAAAGAGGTTGTACGACAACAACATAACTTTTTTTTTTATCAGTGGATTGAAATGAGTCCCGTGTGGACTGCAGAAATTAAATAAATGAAACACAAAAACCAGGATCAAGGATGATAAATGTTGTTCTCAACTTTAAGTTTGACAAAATAATAATTTAACCCCACAAGGCCTTGCAGAGAATAAAACTAGACAAAGACACAGCCAACTTTCTTTCATGACTTGGTTACTTAATTGTAAATGCACACTTACATGCATATAGTCTATATGTATTCAGAGATCCTATGAAACACATAATAATCGTTCTGATTCTGTTAGATTATCTGGATGTCCTCAGACAGAATCGTTGGTAGACTGTTCACATAATTGTAGAGTGAAGGTCTGGAAAGTTTCATTGGTGCTTCATGTTGGACTCTTGGAGAAACTCATGAACTGTCATCAAAGAAAGCTATTGAATTATATTACATAACACAGTGTGCGAGTGACTGTGTGTGTGTTACTGTGACTGCGCAGGTACAGGGCCACTTATTCAAAGACGGAAATTTACGCATCTAGTTCTTAAAAAATATGAACCTCCATAGAAAGCTATTTTTACTCCTTTATCTGGTTTCCTGACAGGCTGATGAAGAAAAGTTAAAATCCCTTACAGCAATGCATTGTATCGCTCTCATACAAATATCGAATCTCCAGAAATATTTATCAACACAGATAAAAAATAAAAAAGTCATCAAGATACAACAAGCCAAAATACCGACGTCCTCACCTGAAGATCTCATTTTTTGTGGTGATTTCTGTGTCCTGGCACTGCTTACAGCACAGTGATGTGCACTGAGGAGAAGAGATAATAACGTTTAAAAGGATCTACACAGATCAGATGTTCTCAATGCAAAGTTATGGTTAAGGCTTATTGGAGGATGCTGTAATAATCAACCCCATCCTTTATGCTTCCACAAGTAAGTAGCTGGATGACATGAAGTAATGAGGTCTGTAGGGTCTGACCAGCGAGACTCACTACATTAAGGAGGATTATTAGGAGGAAAAAGACAAGAACAAGCAGGCCCATTAAAGAGGCACTTTACACATCCGGTGAATTAGTACAGTTTCTGGTGATGCAGCGGTAATAGGTACTTCCACAATCCACAATTCCACAATCCAGTGTTTAGATATAGAAAGCAAAGATAACATTAAGTCCAAATATTCGTTATTGACAATATACCTGTAGCGGTATGTAGAAAATATTCCACCATGCCTCCTTCATGTGAAATGTGACACACAGCAAATGCATACAGTGTGTTTAGGACTTTGAACTGAAACATCGCAGGTAAAGCCAGTGACAGAACAAACATGCATGGTGTTGTTATGCAGTCTGTGCAGAACAACACCAGCAGGAACATCAGATCTTATCACATGATGACGTTCTGCACAGAGGAGACAGGCTGAGGTGGCCCGGCAGGATGGGGAGGGGAGTGTTGAGCTTTCTCTTACCCGGTCCATGATGTCCAGCTCACAGCGAAGTCTCTGGATGGCACTGCCGATCTTCAGCAGCTGCAGCCGCAGAGTGTCGTCTATGGGCAGACAAGCCGCCACTCTGTAGGAGAAGTCTGACAGAAACCAGACAGAGGGGAAAGCCAGGGATGAAAGGAAGAGGACACAAATAAAAGAGACGCATGTGTGTATGCGTCTGCCATCAATCTGTAACACACTGAACAGAGGCTGACCTACGGCGTTCTTAGGAAGCGAGTCATCCTTCAGGTTCTCGTCCCATTCATGGAGCTGTTTCTTCACTCTGTTCATGAGCAACTCCTGTGAGGTGAGACAAAGGAGGCAGAGACGGGCTGGTTTACGTTCATTCCTATGTGGTGTTTATATGCAGTATGGGGGACATTCCGCGCAGTGCACAGGGTCTGCAGCACTCACAGAGTCGTAGAGTCCGTAGACCCAGGGCGGCCATGGCGTCAGACTGGCACAGTGAAACTTCCTCTGTGAGGAAGAACAGATGCAACATTAATCCAAATAAATATTCATACAATACCACCACATTTTGATTACTGACATACACGCTATGGACAAAAGTATGTTGACACTATTGTTTTAAATAGTATCATTTGACAACCTCTGTTAAAGAAGTAACAAAATTGCTAAAACAAAATGTCTGATGTAACAAAAACACACTTTGTGAATCGAGGATTGACACTATTCAATATTCTCTAGTAGTTCATAGTCCAAGAAATGTATAGCATAATTAAAGACAATAATAGCAATAATCATAATAGCTGTATTTGTTTTTCTCATTCTGTCTCGACGTGTGAGCCGCATCGAGGATTTGTTTCCTTCTCATCTGATTTTTAGTATTTCATAGCAAAAGACGTTGCATACTATTGCTGCACATGTGTACAACATGTGTACAACATGTACTGTGTTTGTGGGTTTCACCTGCTGGTAGTTATTCCACCAACATTGGGCCTGTTTGCAGCTCTGAGTCAGAGGCTTGGAGGAGGGGTGCATGTGCAGCCTGTACAGGGGGGGCACGGCAGAGAGGGGATCTGGAAGGATTCTTTCTGGAAGGATCTGTACTTTGGCTTGTCTGATCCTGGCAAGACAAATCAAAGAAGACATAACATGTGAACGAGAATAACATAAAAGGGGGAAAGTGACAAGGAGCAGATTAAACCCAGGGGGGCGCTGGTTTAATGCCTTTAGGTGTGTGACAAGATGTTTGCAGATCTGAGATGATCTTAAAAAGGGGCGTCTGTGCCAGTAAGGAACACAAAGTATTCCTCACCACTGAACATGATCTGAGTGAGCTGACGGCAGCTCAGACAAACAATCATTCACTAAACTTAACACCAGACGAGCAGTAAAACACCTCGAGGTGTAACTACAAACCAAGCACGCACACACACCTAAAAATGGCCCTTAGTTTAAACGAAAGACAATATGCAGTGTTTCACTTCTTACTACCGAATGCACGAACAAAAAGATGCCATAATATAATGGCACTAGAATTACATTTCCAAATAATTGTTTATGCATGCCGCGTTTCAAAAGTGGAATATATTTTATATGTTGAGAAACGTTCAGAAAGGAACGGAAGGGTATTAGAATACAGTATATGCTGTGTCAATATTCAGTACAGGTCACCTCTGAGGGCACATCAGCTGATTACATTTAAGTGGGAGATTATTTCAATTCGATGGCTGGGGTCACTTACAGTACAACAAAAGGGTAATAGGATTATGGCAACGAGTTTATGTGCATTACACAACAGCAACTAAAAGGAAGAAGGAAATAAGTCTGTATGACGACACAGTTTTATGGACGTTAACGTCAATGATGAATGAATAGTGGAGGACATAAGTGGACGGGATCTACAGTCCCACCACAATACTGAAATAGGAAGAGTTGCCGATGGATGCTTCCGTCCTTTGAGGATGCTCAAACAGGCTTTGCAGGATTCGATATAAACTAAACGCTCCTGAGAGTGAGGAGCAGAAAAACTACAACACAAAACCCAATGGCCTCATCTTTAAAGCATGACTGTGAATTGTTCGTCTGCCCTCTAGCTGTGAACTGAGACATCTTGAAGAAAAAAAAGTGCATCAATATCCTGTCTGTGAAAGTCTAATTTAAACTATTTAGTTTATGGCTGTAATTTACCTCTGAAATAATGTCATACCTACAATATAATGTTTTTTTAACACATTGGACCATTTCCACAGGTTTTTTCAGGATCTCTTCTTTGAGAATATAGTCTTCATGTATTATAAATGTAAAGAAGCGATGCTTCAAATTTTCAGATTATTTTCAATTTGTTGAAACATTGAGTTTATAAGCCTGTTTGGATCAGACCCTGACTAAATGATTAAGATCAAAACCTTCAGGGTTCCTATGGCAACCATGGGCCCGCTCGATGCGAGAACCACGACACGATGTTCACGTCGTCATTCATGGAGGTCAGCTCTAAAATACAAATGTGCACATGCATCTAGCCGTTACCTTTGTTTAAGAGGGGCAATTAAACTTACCCATCTGCTTGAGTTCTTATCTCATGGACCTTGAATCTCTGCCTGCCTACAGCTTTTACTTTGACGGTTTCGATGCCATATTCTTGCTCTTCTCGGTATGCATAGATTTCAGCTGTTGTCCCAAACTCTGCCTCCGACTCACCTGCGTCACTGCTGAAACAGATTTTTTTTTTAAAACATTAAAGATTAAAAATGCCCCAGACCCTTCAAATGGGTAATCATTTAGAGTTGCACTTAAAATGCTTGCGTCCAATCCGTTGATGATTCGCAATGTTCCTCACCTGTGTGCGAGCACAGCGAAGGTGCGGTCTCTCTGGACGATGCCGCGCATCATGCTGACCTCCTGCGGCCTGAAGAGCTGCAGAGGCAGCGTCTGACCTGGGACCAGCATCACGGCCGTGTGGGGCAGCACGGGGATGGTCTGGCAGCTGTCTTCATCGTGGACTGTGCGGCCGTGAAACTCCTCCATGTCTGAACCCAGGTACTGCCACCACAGATGGGGGGGGGGGGGCCACGGTCAACACAACAACAGTTGCAGAAAACTAACGAAACTAACCCCCCAAAACGGTAAACGTGAGGGTAAAAGACAGCATGGGGGGAGGTGGCGGGCGTTACTCACGGCGTGGGACGTGGGGAGACTGGGGTCAAAGGTGATGCTGGTGGGCTTCTCTGCCCCCTCGTTGTCTCGGTCTTCTGTCTCCATGACATCTTCCTCCTCAACCTCCTCCTCCTCTGCCTCGTTGTCTACGTCACAGCAAGCACAGCGGCTCAAAGTGAGGAGCGAGCTCCTCTAACGTCAGCTAACCAAACCTCAGCTGCCACTTTGGCGAGTTAACGAGTCACTCTGATGGAGGAAATGACCGTGAAGTGACAGCTCGCGTGTTCATAAAATGAGTCGGGATGTGATGGCCGTTGTGAGTGACCGTTAGCTGGCTGCTAGCTGCTAGCAGCGCGGAGGGAAAGACGCGCTTCTGTAGCCTTCAGTTACCTGGTAAGAGCTGTAACTGGTTCCCCATGTTGTCGTTGACGTCGTCTTCACCTCCTCCCCTCTCGTCGGCCATATCTTTGTGTTTACAATACAACTCTTCTTCTGCGGTGACGTCAGTGTGCGGCGTCCAGACGGATTACGCGCGCCCCCTGTTGACTGTGCGGATTGAAATAATCCAGACGTCAAATCTATTTCTGATGATAATCATACTTGACCATGTCAAGTGTTAATAGGAAAGCAGTGGAACATTTGAGGAAATATCTACTCAGAGATATCCGTTTTATGACTGAATCAAAAGTGAGAAGTCGCCGAATACATCAATTTCAGCCATTTGATTTATAATTTCAAAATACCTTTTCTCATTTAAACTACATTTTAGAGGGCATTCGTGTATTAATTCCACTTTTATGACGGCTTTAATCAATTTGCAGATTCTGCATGCACAATGCACGTGCAAACTAGCTTATAAATATAAATGATCTTGAAATTTGTAGTTCAATGACATTTACGAATAAAACAAACATGCCATTGATGGGGAGTGCTACAAATTAGTTTCTCAAACCTTTAGTGTAAGTTTGAGGGAAATCCAGGGATTTATAATTGATTCCAAGAGAAGGATTTTTAAGGCACCCAATATTTGTTTGATCAACACACCATGGGATAAAGCCAAATTGGCAAAAGAGCTTAAAGACTGCCAAGCTAGTTTCCCTGCTGTAAGCCTCAGTTATTCTAAATTAGAAGTTACCATTAAAAGCTAGGTTGACATTTAAATTTAGCCAGTCTGTACATTGACTAAAGTATGGACTATGTATACAGAATACCAACTAATGTTTAGTGTCGCCCCTTGTATCAAGTTTACAAATGCAAGGGCGACTCAATCTAGAACTGGCAACGCCAATTTTTCATACTGCCAGTCAAACAAGAGCTTTACCAATAGGTAAATAGTTGGAATCAAGAGTTAACAGTGTTAAGTTTTAAACAGTGTTCGTTTATTGTTCATCACCACATGACAGTTGGTAAATATGTGTAATGATCCGTGAACAATGTAGCTGCTGTTCTTATGTCGATAGTCCAGCGTCTTTGCCTTTTCCAATCAGCCATCCACAGAAGTGTCCATGAGATGCGCAGTCATCAGAAATCACGGCTTGGGCTTCGGGTCCACTGATGGAGGCTCCACTTAAACCAGAGTCAGTCAACTGGAGAAGCGCCGACGGGAATCACAGCTGGCAGGGAGAAGATCTACTTGGACCTCTGCCTCATCTTTCTCCTTTTACGCTTCAGCCTGTTGAGAAGCAGCAGTCATGAACACATGGCCTTTGAAGCTTGTGGAATAAGACTAATTATCAAGGGAATAAGATTTTAAAATACAAGATTGATCTTTCACATGTCAAAAAACGGGCACAAGAATGTGTGAGGCTTGCAACTGCCATGTAGATTTTCAGTATGGGCTCAGATCCTGCATCGGGTGGGCATATAATATTAGAATCTCAATAATTTGCACCCGTTATTTTGACGGTCAGTGATAAGTCACTTAACATTTAAATGTCCTCAGCGCTGCAAACATCCAACGTTATGACAGCAATGTTTCAGTTAGAAATTATGTTGAAAGTTCCAGAATGCCAAGAGGCATCGATGAATTGCTTGCGTTAAATGCACGATAGTGCATCATTTAGGAGTAAACTGAAACAATTACTTTCAATGGAAGTTAATAAAACTCGAGCCAGGCATTCATTTTAAAAAGGAAAAGCTGATCAATAATTCTTACCTGCGCATACGCTTCTTCCTCCACTGAAAGACAAGATGGATATTTATTATAATACAAAAACTGTAGTCACGTGCGCCACTCCGGCGCACCCGCTTAACAGCACGCTGCACACAAACTACGCAGAATTCAACTGAAGTGGTACTACGGTGAAATGAAGTGAACACTAATGTTAGTCAAACACTTAGAGTGGAACTGTGGCCATAAACACATCGGAGTGTGGACGTTCCCATTGCGACCATTAGCACATGCAACGAAAGAGGGCCTTCCGTGCGCAGTGGCATTAAATTTCCCAATTTCAAAAGTTTTAAATTTACTTTAAGGTCAGATTTACATTTAAAAACGTAAGCATGACAGGGCACGGTTAAATAAACATTTGCAGTGAATATACGACAAAGAGGCCGAGGTGGTGCTATTCGGATGCTAGTGAGCAACATTGAGTGAAACAGGAAGAGTATAAATCACAAATAACAGATATTTGATGGTTTACTCACCTTGGCTCTCATCGTGAGGAGAAGTTTCTGTAAAAACAATACAATTAAATGATTAGTGCCTGTGGATGATTAGTAAAAATGGAAGATTAGCATGGATTCGTTTGGCAGAAGCGCAATTCTTCTTACCTCAAAGCGAGAGGAGCAACGGAAAGAGGATGTGACGAAGGAAGAGGGTGATATTTATACTGATGCTGACGTCGTGTTTAAGCGCCAACTGCGGGTTTCTTAGCTTGATGGGAAATGTAGTTTTAAAGATCAGATCCGCGTGGCTCATACTAATTTTTTGACACATGGCGCCTTATTTGAATGAAATATCCACATAAAAGAGCAGAGCAGAACACTATATTCAAGTAAAGTAATTAAAGTGCCGTTTGAAAGACTAGCCGTAACGTTATGGAAATTACCATCTGCTGATTCATATTGTGAGTAATGTTCAAAAGCTCTAGGATAGATACATCGACCTTGAAAATCGAATTGATATGCTCATTTATGCGAAAACAACTTCTCTAACCTGACATAATATTCATGCAAAACTTAGATGTGGGGGATATTGATTTACTTTTGTATTGGCGACATGTCATTTAATATTGTGTTATGAATATCTATCATAGATAACATGTTGGGACACCAATCAAGTAACTAGGCACGTATGTCAGAATAAGAACCAGATAAAATTAATTAGCCCTTTTCCAATAATTAATTTGAACAAAAACGTCCAGAGAAAACAGACAGAAATGTATGAAAATGTTTTCATTTCATTAGATATAAAGTTCCAATGCTCACTGATAGCTACAAAGCATGATTTTGCTTTCCACAACATATTGACCTGTTGACAAATGTTACCCATCCCTGAAAATGAAACTCAGACCTGAAATCACCCATTATTGTTGCCCGTCCACTTAAGATACCCATAAAAAATATTTTTTAAACTTGGTCAGCTTTAAATGTCATGCATCACACGACCAACGTACTAAAGCAAGTAACAGGTGTCACTAATATAAAAAAGTTTTCAGAAGTGGAACATGAGATCTTTTCATAATATGTTAAGGAGCATGGCAGCAAAAGTTGAAGTTTTGTTCCCTAGTCGATTGCAGTGTTTTGCTCAGGTTAATACTTTAAAGAATAGTACAAATAGAAATCACCATAGTTTAAGCTAAATTAGGTAAGGCCTTGATGATGGAAGACTAACCATAAACAATTACATCACTCAGATGTAAAAGCCATCATTTATTTTACCATCCTTGGGATCACTGTCATTTGTCACTGTCAACTTTGTGTTGTTTATAAATCAACCCTATATTGCAAAGGGAAAATCATTCAGATGAAAAGTTTTTAAATGATAAAAGGTATTCTTTACCCCATAAAGCAGTGGATTAATAAACAGGTCATAACTTTATTCTCACATTCACAAGAATTACCAAAAAATGTTTAGGCAGTTTTTTCAATAGAAATTATACACATGAAATTTTTTTGAAAATTTGTGACCCACATTTCAGTTGGTAACATCCAAAAAGCCTTCACTCCAAGTATTTTCAAAGGTAGTAAAAATATTTTCTAATATTCTTTATTTCTTACAGACTCAAAAAAAAGCTACATGGTACTTTCAGGAAATGCAGTAAAGGGTTAAGCATCCACGAAGGATCTAAAATTCATCGGCTTCATTTGAAAATTAAAGGTGTAAAATGGGCAGAGTTTGGGGTGTCATGTTTGTCATGTTTCCTCTTGCTACTCTGCAGGATTCTGCGTTTGTGGAAAAGCAATATTTTGTTATTCTACAGCTTCTGTGTACGCGGTTGGCTGTTCCGTTGCATTTTCTGCTGTCTTGGAGGCCTGTAGGATGTGAAATGGGGAGGAATAGATCAGTGAGGTGCAGAAGAGGGGGTGGGGCAGTAAATAAAAAGGGAAACATTAAATAAGCAAAAAACCTGATCAAAAAGGAGAGGTAAATAGTTACCCTCTTTCTCGTGTAGCAACTCATGTTGGGCACACTCCACAACACCCAGACGGGCTTTAGCCTCATCCTTGAACGCTCTGACGGAAAAAAAGATGATGGAATTAATTAAGTGCATGAGCCAAAGTTTATCAATATTCAACAATGTCTATTTAAAATATCTTGGACAATGTGTATATACACATTAGTAGTTACCCATAAAGTGCAGTATTCATACCGGAGAGTAAAAGCGCCGCATCAAAGCGCCGTTCGACTTCACTGAAGAACATACGGGAAGTTTTCATCTTCAAGCCGTACTGCTTACTGGGGTCCCTCTTGAAAATGGTGGTCCTCGTAGCACCTTCTCTGGCCTAATTGTAAATATTAAAAGTGGAAAAAAAACGTGTCTCTTTAAGTGTTTCAATGGCTACAACCTTTGGTAAATTGGTATGAATAAAGAAGGACTAGAGAGCACACTGACCTTCCCTTCTCCAGTGCTTATCAAGACGCCCACAGCGTAGACTTCATGTACCTCAAACTCGGCCTTCTCTTGATCCTTCCTGAAATTGAGTGTCAAGAGCAGCCAGTGAAAAAGTAAAAAAAAATTTGCCTTTAAGTTTCTAAAAATGTAATTTTGGTGATTTGGTGATAGTTAATTTTTTTTGATTCAGCACCATAAATCAAACATGATTCATTTAGACTATATTGGTTTTGTGATACAAGATAACAGTCAAAATGAACATTTGCGTTGCTCTGAATGCCCTTCTGATGAACAGACACTCACCCTCTTTCGGTGAGCTTTAAACGAGTGAGCAATCTTGTTCCAGGCCTCTGTCACTTGAGTGTTCTGAGAGATAGAAAAATACATTACTTTCATGTGCAAAATACAGGTTATTGCAATGACTCACGAAAAAAGATGAGGGGAGAAGAACAAAGCAAAACTATTTTAGA